AGTCAAACAAAAATGATAACATGGTTGACCGTGTAGATATGAAGCACTGAGAGTGTCAAATTTCAACTTTCTGGCTTGCTTGCTTCTTTCATAGTCATAACGACTTATTGAACACCCCTCGTAACTTCATCAACTTTTACTTTATTTTGTTTCACTTTTTTTTTTATCAAATAGACCATCTTGGCACTGGACATCGAGTTCGAGATGATAGTCAAAAGACCGCGTTTGGCCTCTGTTGTGCTGCTGGCAACACTGATGGTCTGTTCCCCCCAGGAAGATCATGCCCAGCAAAACTCCGACACAGGCACCACCACAGCACCACCAGGCCCCCATGTGACAGATGCACCCTTTAAAGACTCACCTCAAGAAGACCTGCCCCTTCTCCTGTCACCCTACTTAGATCGTGGTGAAATCGACACCGCCAGATCGTTGAGCAGCGTCCGTATGCCGGAGTTCGCCCTCAGCTACTCGGGTTTCTTGACTGTGGACCGCGTCCTTGGCAATCATCTCTTCTTCTGGTTCTTCTCCTCACCACAGGATCCACGGGCACCGCTTCTCATCTGGCTGAACGGCGGGCCTGGGATCTCCTCCATGCTGGGCCTCTTCACAGGAAACGGCCCCCTGAAGCTGGTCGTGGGCTCTGACGGCGAGACTGTGGGTTACGAGAAGAGAAAGGTTAGCTGGGCGGGCCCGTTCTCCATGCTGTACATCGACAACCCCGTGAGTGCGGGCTTCAGCTTCTCCGACAGCGGCACGGCGGGGAGCCGGCTCACACAAGAAGGATACTCAGAAGATCTCTACCAGTTTCTGCTACAGTTCTACACCATGTTCCCAGAATACCTCACGAGAGATCTGTACATCGGTGGTCAGTCTTACGCCGGGCGCTATGTGCCGGCTCTCTCATATCGAATCCACACAGAGAATCAGAATGTTGAGACCACAACCGGAACGCATACTCACATCAAAATTCCTTTAAAGGGGATCTATATCGGTGGACCGTTTTTCGACCCTGAGACGATGATGCCTGCATTTTATGATCACTTATACGTTGTAGGTGTCATCAGCCATCACGAGTTACTTGTGTACAAAAAAGATCTTGGGGAGCTTTATCAACGATACGTAGAAAAACGCCTGGGTAATGAAACCCTCTCTACAATGTTGAAAGTTATCATCCCTCCCGGCACGTACATGGGTCCCACCGACAACTTCGTGACAGGAGAAAGAAGCAGTCACAGACACATGAACAAGTTGATGAACAGGCCCGAGATGAGGAGACTCATTCACGCCGGGACGAAGCACGATTTTTCCAGTTTCAACCAAACCTTCTTCTACATGGTAGGGGAAGATATATTCGTGAGTACGAAACCCAAACTCGCGCGGCTGATGAACGAGTACAAAGTGCTCATCTTTAACGGCGATTATGACCTCACGGTCAGCACGACCATGATGGAAGCGGCCATGTTGTCCATCCCGTGGTCACTCCAGGCCGCTTACAACAGCAGCTCGAGAACTGCCTGGGTCAAGGACGATGAAGTCTCGGCTGGGAAGCGCAGCAGTTCTCAATCACAGTCGGAGAATGGTCGTCTCAAAAACACGTCTGAACAAGCGCAACATGAAGAACAACCAGGGAGATGGTCGGCGGGTAGCGTGTGTGGCTTCTATTCCCATGTCGGTGGTTTGTGTCGTGTGGTTGTGCACGGTGCGGGGCATCAAACGGCGCAGGACCAACCGGAAGTGACGCTAGAAATGATGAAGAAGTTTATCTTTAACGGCTGTATCGGAACACAATCCTAGACGCTTCTGTACAGCATATAGTATTACCTTTCTACACAAGATGTTTTTATTGCGGGTAATTTAGTAACGTTCCCTTACTCGGAGAGGAAAAAAACAAACGTTTCTAGTATGAATTCTCTTATATGAAAAAAATTATGAATCTGAGCCCTTTCGTATGCGATTTTACAAAAACAAAAAACTTGGAAATGCGATATTTTTGTACTCTTAGAAAAAAAAGGTTTTATGAGTCACTGTCATCCGTACCCTGTGCGCTCGCGCGCGAGCGCGCACACTCACACACACACACACACACACACACACACACACACAAACACACACACACAAACACACACACAAATGCAACACATGCATGCGCACTCACGAGCATGTGTGCACGTGCACGAGCATAGTGGAACACACACACACACACCTTTCAAAGAAACGTAGCTCTTTTAGATATACTTTTGAAAAAAAATGTGTTTTAGAAATTGATCTCATGATTCTCATAAACGAAAGTTATTTTGAGTATTCGAAGTCATCAGAATATGGGGCACATTAAATATTGGATTGATCTATTCAGAAACTCACTTTCAAGGACATGCTTATACATCTATGCTAAGACATGGTGAGCATCAGTAATCGTAATATTCTCAGTTTCACACAAAAAAATAAACTGCTGCAGTCGTCAAAAACCTACTATGTTATTATTATTATTATTATTATTATT